ATTAAGAATATGTGACTAGTGACTGCAGGATTGGACAGTGCAGATTACAGAAAATTTTCATTATCAGAAAACCTTCTGTTATATGATGCTCTCCTAAACTTAGAGAACTGCATTATAAAGAAAACATATATACACAGTGGAATATCACTCAGCCATAAAGAAGAATGACTTTACGGCATTTGCCATAAATGGATGAATCTGGAGATTATCATGTTAAATGAAATAAGCCAATCCCCAAAAACTAACGAATGTTTTCTCTGATATGTGGAAGCTAACTTACAACAAGGTAGAGCGTTAGAAATTAACTGAATTTGACAAAGGGGAATGAAGGGAAGGTAGAGGATGGGAAAAGGAAATACAATGAAATGAATCTGACATACTTTCCTATGTACATATATGAATACACCACAGTGAATCTTACCATGTGCACACCCATAAGAAATTAATTTTTATAATATATGTAAATGGCAGAAAGAAGGAACCCCAGGGGTGGGGAGAGGGAAGGGGAAGAAGAGGTACTGGGATCTGAATTAGAACGAGATATATTTCATGCTTGTATAATGATGTCAAAATGGATTCTACTGCCAATAAGAAAAAAAAAAAAAGAAGATGATTCTGGAGCCACATTGAAGGCAGCCCTGAATTGCAGAAGGAAGGTAGAGCTGGTGTGAGGGCTGGTGTATGTGGTAGTATCTTCTAGACAGACCATAGGGCTAAGAATAGAGTAGAGAGGTGGGTTGTTAACCACTTAGTACAGAAAGGAGGGGGTTTGTATTGAGTTTTTTTTTTTAAGCATAAATACTATATAGAGAGAGAAAGAGGTAAGAATTCTGTAAAGTTTTCTCATTCCTAAGTAGAGGTCACTGCTATAGTTTAGATGTGGTGTCCCCGAAAAGCTCACATGTGAGACAATGCACAAGAAGGTTTGGAGGAGAAATCATTGGCTCTCGCCTTAATCTAATCAGTGATTTAATCCCTGGTGGGATTAACTGAGTGGTAACTGAAATGGTGAGGTGTGGCTTTGGGGTATATATTTGTATCTGGCAAGTGGAAACGTCTCTCTGCTTCCTCATGGTTATGTGAGCTGCTTCCCTCTGCCATGCTCCTCTGCCATGTCTCTCCTTGAGCCCGGAGGAATGGAGCTTACTGTCCGTGGATTGAAACATCTGAAACTGTGAGCTCTTAAATAAACTCTTCCTTTCCTACGATTGTGTTCTTTGGGTCCTTTAGTCACAGCAGCAAAAAAGCTGACTTGAAACAGTCACTTTTGCTGTTTCTTAAACTAATAGTAGTGTTTTTTACTTTTTTGTAAAAAGAAATTACAACAGCTGCCAGCTTTTGTGTGTGCGTGTGTGTGGTACGGGGGATTGAACCCAGGAATGCTGCGCTGAGCTACATCCCCAGCACTTTTTATTTTTTGAGACAGGATCTAGCTAATTTGCCCCAGGCTAGTCTTGAACTTACAATCTTACTGTCTCAGCCTTCTGAGTCACAAGATAGCTGCCAGTTCTTGGATTATCCATGAAATAAGGAATGGTTGTTACATGAATAAAAAAATCCAGTAACCCAAAATTTGTTACATGTTCATGCCACTTTTCACCTGCTAAGGAACAAAATTAGTTGATGAGATGATTTTTTCTTTTATTTCTTTTAATGTCCTGTGATGAAGGGGAAAAGTTGACAACTGAATTTGAGGGAAAGAAGGAAAAGTTGGTATTACTGATCCTTGTATAATCACTGCTTCTGGATTTTGAGGTCTATATCAGAGGGTTTTTTTTAAAAATCTCTAATAATTCAGGACAAATAGGATTATACTAGGATTGTTGGCCTACAGCCAACAACTTGTACTCGTTCTTGACTTTGAGTCAATTACTTACCATAACCTCTCTGAGCCTTAGTTTCTTCTCTGTGAAATGGGGTGTAATGGTATCTACCTCCATGAGTAACAGGGTAAGTGGATTATAAAATCCAGAGTGCCTGACCACTACTGTAGGGCCCTAAATGTTGAACTGTATCATTTGGGAAAGTACATCCCGTGTACTCAGAGTCAGACACTCTCTGTTCTGATCTTGGCCTTCCCACTTAGTGGGTGTGTGACTTTGGTCTAGCTGTTCGGCCTTTCTAGACTTTCATTTCCTCCTTGGTAAAATGGAGTAATAGTAAACCTTTTTCAGAGGCATTGCTTAGGATTAAATGAGATAACACACATCAAGATAATGTGAGGACGTCTACTACATGGCATACAGTGAGTGCCTGACAAGTGTAACTGTGAGGAAATAAAGAATGATGTTTAAATTAGGGGTTGCCCTGCTAAAAGATAGGAGATGACCAAATCTGTTCTCGCCTATCCTTTTTGTTCACTAGACAATAGCATTCATACTAAAGTGTGCACATTCTGTTCTGTTGATATTCCACTATAAGTCATTATTAAGCCTCCTTTGTTAAGTGTTTGGCACAGCTGTTAGTTATCATAAAGACCTTTCTCACTTGATAGTTTTTCTCCAAACAGCAAGATCACATCTAATTTAAAAGGCCTGGTGTGTGAGTTCAGAGGGCAGGCAAGTGAGAGGGGTCAGTCCCACAGGGGGCCTTTTCATTGTCTAAGGGCCTGACCTCTGTTGCCTCCAGGGTCCAGGAAGAAAGACGATATACTTCAAAGGAAAACTGGGGACCAGGGAAGAGGTACTACTGTGATTTGTGACTATCTTCTTGTCCTTTAGTCACCCTGTGCCTTGCTTCTGCACCTGATACCTGCAGAAAGCAGGTCAGAATGCCAAGGGATTGGCTAAGGAGGCTTCTTCTAAAGCCTGGTCTACTCTGGAGGGTGCAGCAGCCAGAGGGTCCCACACCCAGCCTCCACAGATGCTCCTGACCTATGGAGAACAGCTTTCTGTCCAAGAAAATTATTTTGAGTTTTTTTGGTGTGAAGACATAGTCCTGGATTTCTTTCACTTACCAACTTCTCTAACTAGGAAGGAAGCACTGTGCTGTTACTAAAAATGACTTTTTTTCCTTCAGAATTTTCAGGTCATTAACAAAATCTAGAATTCTTTTCATTTGTAAATGTCAAAATTATTACTTAGGACATTTTATAGGAGTACATTTTGCTTGGAATTTAAATCTAGATCATTCTTCTCTGAGTTTCTGTCAAAACCCTTGCAGCATCCTCCACTAATCTGACTTTGAAATGCTTTTCACAACCAACCTTTATTCTCTGATTCCACTACCACTGCCCAGGTTTTAAGCTTATCTCCTCACATATGAATTTGTCATAATAACTAAAAAGAATGTTCTCGGGCTGGGGCTGTGCCTCAGTGGGAGAGCACTTGCCTAGCATGTGTGAGACACTGGGTTTCATTCCCAGCACCACCTTAAAAATAAGTAAGAATTTTCTGGATTATAAAAGCAATAAATGCCCACTATAGAAAATTTGGATAATATAGGTAAATTATAAGAAAGAAAATAAGTTACTAATAAGAGATAAATGCTGTATATTCTGAATTTTTATTTCCAGTCTTTTTTTTTTTAATTTTTTATTGTTGGTTGTTCAAAACATTACATAGTTCTTGATATATCATATTTCACACTTTGATTCAAGTGGGTTATGAACTCCCATTTTTACCCCATATACAGATTGCAGAATCACATCAGTTACACATCCATTGATTTACATATTGCCATACTAGTGTCTGTTGTGTTCTGCTGCCTTTCCTATCCTCTACTATCCCCCCTCCCCTCCCCTCCCCTCCCCTCTTGTGTGTGTGTTTATGGTTAAGGAAGTTTGCACCTATGGTATACAGTTTTGTGTTGTGGTTTTTACTATCACAATTTTTTTTGAGTTATCAGCATGTTCCTGTATAATTATTTTTCAAAAACTGTTAATGAATAAATAATACCCTTTTACATGGAAAGAGAAAACCTACTTGACAATATTGTTGGCTATTTAGATCTCCTTTTCAACATTAAAAGCTTTGCCATATCTGTTCACTGTGGTGAGTAAGAACACAGGCCTGGAGCTCCAAAGACCATGCTCAAATTCTGCTCCTCACACCCATTCCCAGGCCTCATGCAATCCTAAACCTCAGTTTTCTTCTGTGTAAAATGAGGGTTATAATAGTACTTTTTACCACACTTGAGTTGATTTATGAGATATGTGTGATGTACTCATTTACGCAGAAGTTGACTCATAGTAAATTCTAATATTGATTGCTTTTGTAACACTCACTGTCATTAATCATCAGCATTTTTTTTCTTATAACTCCTAAGAGCTAGATTATGGCATCCAAGTATACACGTATTGTACTTTAGTAATATATTGCAAAATTGATTCCTAGAAAAATTCTATCAATTTATAATTATACAATACCTGATTTCACCCTTTGTCATTGTTGTATATGTCTTTTTTATTACTGTTTAGCAATGTGACACACAAAAATTGTACTTTTAACTTACTGTATCTTTCTAATTTGCATTTCTTTTGTATGATTTACATTTAGCAATGCAAATTAGTTTAAAAATGTTTAATTGGCCAATCACTTATGCAAATTATGTTTTCACAAATTATTTATGGAAGTCAATGCCCATTTTTATTGACACTTCATTTTTTTATAAATCACTGAGTTCTTTGTTTATTATGATAATAATCATTATTTATAAATAAAGTCTATTAAGCATTTACAACTTTCAGATGAGGAAACAAGGGCCAGAGTAAATAAATGCCCAGTCATCCTTGTTGTTTTTATTACTTGGCTTAGTTTTTTGCAGCACCTAGCTCAGACCAGTGTCTTGCACATAGTAGGAGCAGAATAAGCCCACGTGCACTTACAAGGGCAGTCGCCATCCTTGCCTTTGTTCTTTGTGCACAGAAGCCATCCTCTCCTGTGTGCCTTTGTCACAGCCACAGCTTCAGCTCAGATGAGTCAGCATCTCATAGACTTGATTGTTCTGATGTATTTTTTATGACACTTTTAATCAGGTTATTTCCTTCACTTCATTTCTAGGTAACAAACCTGAATTTGGCAAGTGGTGTCATAAACAGAAGCAGTGCTTCAACTCCCCCCAGCCTCCGACCTGTCCTCAGTCCTACTGGTCCAACATGGTCCATACAGTCAGACCCCCACGCTACAGAGAACCACTCCAGCCCCCCTGGAAGCAGGTACGTGAAGGACCCTGGAGATAGCGTTGAGTTGCATGGGAGGGGCTGTGTCCCAGGCAATCAGGCCCTTCCCACTCTGAGCTCTAGTAAGGTGGATGCTCATTTTATTTGTAAGACAACTTTCAAGAAAATCAAATGGAAAGGAAATTTCTGATGTAGTTAAGAAAATCACTTCTGGATGGATGCTATAGTTAATCCTTACTTCCAGTCAACATTTTCATGTTCTGAATTTTGGCATTTTATCCTTGCCTCCTGGAATTTCCTGTTTGTTTTTGTGATACTGGGGACTGAACACAGAGACTCTCTGTCACTGAGCCACATCTCCATTGTGTTTCAGTGACTTTGAACTCTTTTTTTTTTTTCCTTTGGAGGACATATTTGTTTTTTATGTTTTCATATAGGTTATATAATTAGACTCAAAACAGGTTCTTGATCCCATTTAGGAGGTGGGAAGGAAATAGTCTGTTACGTAGAGAGAAGTAGCAATTTGTAAAATACAAATAGATTCTGGCCATAAGGCAAACAACTTCTGAATTAAAAAAAAAAAAAATCACTGTATTAAATTCTGGTCTCATTCTATATTTTAAGTATTCCTGTATAAAAAAAATCTAAGAAGTGAGTTCTCACTGCATCTTCCTTTAGTAGATTAAATTGCATCAGTCCCTGAGTCTAATGAGCTGGAGAGAAATGTGACCAGTGATGTCTCTGGCCATGGAGATTTTGTTCCCTCCAAATAAAAAAGCTCTACCCCAGGTGTCCCAGTGAGTCCTCACCCTGTGCCGGTCTCTCTCCCTTCTTTGCTGCTTTGCTCTGAGCTTAGGAGGGGGGACCAAAGACCTGGGCGTGGAGGAAATACTTGATTATTATTCAAATATCACTTGGTATCAGAATTAACTTCTTAAGGAGCTGATTTGGGACCAGAAACTCTGCCTGGGAAGCAGCATAAACAAAAGCACATCGCATCTCACCCTGGGACGATGGCTCTCAGAGCCACCGTCATTGTGGTCGATGTGCAAAGAGTTATCTCAGTTGAGAATTTTCATGCAGAGTTGGAGACCAAGGGGCACAACTGTTTGAGATGGGACTTCCTCTATACAGTTCTTTTCACAAGAGAAGTCTTATTTGGTGATTTATAATCTTCTGAGTAACCACATTCCTTGAAATACAAGTTATAAAAAAGTTCTGTTTATTCCATAGAGCTTTATTTTCTATATAAATGTTTCCAAATATTCCATTTTCATGTGAAACTCAGAGCCTGTTCCTATGGAGAACACTTTCATTACAATCTTGAATATTCTGTTTGACAAGGCTATAAGGCATTTTCCATACTGTAAACAGAACGTCAAAAGTCCACATTTTGGAGAAGAAGAGTTTTAGCACTTTTTATACTTGTAGATAGAATGAGGGGATAACAAAAATTATGGCTGGGTGGAGAGCTTTCTTGGAAGCACCTGCTATTGGTGAGATGCAGTATGGTGGGATCTGTGGACCTACAGGGATCTACAGCAGCACCAGGAGTGACTTTCTCCCAGCCAAAGTGCTCCCTGGGCTGCGGTGGAGTGGCGCACTATCCGGTTTACATCAGAGCCCTTGCAGCTAGAACGCAACCCCAAGAAATCCCTCGGTGCTTCCTTTTTGCCTTAGTTGTACCCACAACAGCCCTCTCTTTGCCTCCAGCCAGTGGTGAGGTCCCAGTGGGTCCCCCATAGCCCTGGGGAATCTTCCACTGTCCCTAGGTGACCTCTGCTTGCCAGGACAGCTGGAGGCTCAGCTTGGGAGTTTTAGTCCAGCAGCCCCAAGAGAGTCCTTAGTCCTTCCAGAGCTGGAGGGGCTGCGGGCCCTGGCCAGGGCACCAACACAGAGCTCCTTCTGATTTCCATTCCTACCTGGTAAGTCCCTCTTTTGTGGATATTTATTTAGTCTCTTATTGTTTTTCCTTTGTAGTGAGGGTGACTAAGTTTGGTGAATATGGGACTCACAGCTTAGAGATGTGAGTTTTATTACTGGTTTTGACACTAAGTGACCCTAAGCTATTCATTGAATCTTTTTATTGGGTAGGCATACTTACATGTAAACTGGCCTATTTTGAGAGCTTTTAGATCGCCCTTAAAGCACTTTGATCTCCCTGAAGTGGGGGCTAGGTAAATAAAAGGTACTCTTACTAGTTTTTCTACAAATGCAGCAGTGAATTCCAGTGCTGATAAACTCTGCTAACTCACTCAACTCGAGGCTGCCTGTGAAGTGTAATGGGAAGTAGCGAGAAGCCCGCTGCTGGCTGTACTTTTCATCTCTCCGTGTCGGAGAATTCAGTGACTTGGTAGCCACAGGAATGAAAACTGGTGACTCACGAGAACTCTGCAAATAGTGTTATTTTTCATTTCCCCATGGTGTTGCCATTGTTCTCAATTTTATGGATCACACAAGTTTTCACCAGACAAACCTTGTTCTTCCCCCGCTGTTGGAAACCACCCCAAATGTAGCCTCAGGGCTGTCGTCTCCCATTGGGTCAGTGTGAGCTCAACCCAGCTCCTCAAATCCCCTGGTTCCTTTGGTCTGTCTGGAGTCCCTGTTCAGGCTTTGTTGTGGGAGAGGAAGGCAAAGAGCCCACAACTTGCCCAGACAGTCTGAGGCCTGGCCACGCAGCCTGCAGTTCCCTAGACACTCGGGAGTTGGACTTGGCCAGCCATTCCTCTGTTGTTACTTTCAGAGGTAATAAGTGAGATTAATTGCAGGCCATTCTCCAGAAGAGAGAGGAGTTAGGGCCAAATGCAGTCACATGCTTAGAAGCCTGAGGTGTGCCTCCAAGCAAGGCTAGCTTAGAATTATACAGCAGGGACTCCAGGATGCAGGTACCACACGTTTATGACCTCTTTTTTCTTTAAGCCATGTTTCCGGTCTCTGGATTCTGATACCTGGGTATTTCAGCTTTTCTTTAGCCAATGAGAAAAGTTGGATTCTTCGAGCTGCCTTTTAATTATCCGTTTTCTGGGCACATGGGGAGTCATTAGGAGCTGAGAACTGATGTTTGCGGCATCCTCTCATTCCTGCCAGCCTCCCATGGAATGGGGCCGCGCCAGGGAGGAGAGTTTTCTAGGTGAGGAGCCCTCCGTGGGTTCAGAGTGCATTTTTCTTTGTGAGACCTGGAAGGGTTACTGTGAAGTCTTGGCTGCTGCTTGGAATGATTTGGGAAGGACAGGGCCTCAGACAGCTTGGCAGGAACCTGAGGCCCTGTTTTTTCCAGCCCAGCCCTTCCTTGTGGATGGAGCTGTCAGGGAATCCCACGAACGTCTGGCTTCGGCCCCTTTGTATGTTCTTCAGCATTTGTCACTGGGTTATTTTTATCCATCTCTGGCTTTTTCACACACACATCCTGGGGATTTGTCTGTTCCTCGATATTAAAGGTGGGGGAAGTTGACAAAAGAGGGCAACCACAAGTTGGTTCCTGCTTTTTGTGATAGGGCAGGGCTCTGTGGGCATGGCTGCTGGCCTGGCCAGCTCCCACTCTCCAGTGAACATCTGTGTGTCAGAATTTTGAGTTCTATGGAAGAACGGGAAATCTTAGAGATTTGGGGCCCTTTTTGATGTTACCCTGTCCTTCTACTCTTTAGTAGTTGATCAAAGAGTTTGCTGTCCTGCCATACATAATTTTTAGGAAGATATTTTTCAGAGCTTCTGATTCCAGTTGAGCTAATACTCTTCTCCCTTCCTTTAGATTATTTCTTACAAATGTTGCTGAAGATTCAAGTCTCTGACTTCTCAGAGTCAGTTCTCAAAAACAACGGGTTTGTTAATTTTTTTCTTTTTTTTTTTTTTGTAGTTGTAGATGGACAGAATGCCTCTATTTTATTTGTATATGGTGCTAAGGATCAAACCCATTGCCTCACGTATATTAGGCAAGTGCTCTGTCCCTGAGCTACAGCCCCAGCCTGTAATTTCTTTTAAAAATATGCCCTATGGGGCTGAGGTTGTGGCTCAGTGGTAGCGTGCTCACCTAGCATGCGTAAGACACTGGATTCGATCCTCAGCACCACATAAAAATAAAGACAATAAAGTCCATCAACAACTTAAAAAAAAAATGTGTCCTATGCATTTTCTGTATGTCAGGCATTGTTTGCTGCTGGGGAATAGCAATAAATAGAGCATTTCCTGATCTCACAGAATTTCCATGTTCTCAATGCAAGGTTGGGTGCTAGGTAGGATCCATGGTACACATGAAGCAATTAGAGAACAGTATCTGGCAGCAGGTAACAAAGATCTCAATTTCATTGCACAATTAGAAGAAAGATTGTCAGGAAGAGCATGTAGGAATTCAGTCCTGCCCCGTGATGGGCTACAATTGGGTTGTACACGAAGTGAAATGAGCCATTCACAAGAGGACAAATAACATGAGTCTGCTCATGTGAGGTACCTAAAGTGGTCAAGAGCACAGAAACAACACAGGAAGGTGGTTGCCAAGGACTGGGGGAAGTGAGGAGGGGGACTTCTTGTTTAATGAGTATAGGGTTTCAGTTTTGCACAACGAAAATGTTCTAGAGACCTGTCGTAGAACAATATAAATGTACTTAACACTCCTGGACTGTACACATAAAAATGATTAGGTAGTAAATATAAATTATGTGCTTTTTACTACAGAAAAAGAAGGTAAACAATGAAGAATTTCCAAGACAGCCCCCACAGTTCTGCAAAAATTGTACAGTGACTTAAATGACAAGGTCCGATCTTTCCCTATGTGTGAGGGCATTATTCTGGAACCAGTCCTGCAGTGTTTCTCTTTCTTTAAAAGCATGCCACCAACTTGAACCAATTCCATATAACTGAAATTAAAAAATAAAAAACATAAAAGCAAGTGACCAGTGACACTTGCTGGGATGTAGTGAGGTGGAGAGGGAAAGGACTTCATTAAGTCAGACAGACCTGGGTTTGTGATATTGTGTATGTGACCTTGGGTATGTTACTTGGCATCTCAGAGCCACAATTTCCCCATCTTTTTAAAAATGTGC